GCCCTCGAATAAACGCCGCCCTCGAATAAACGCCGCACCCAAATCGTAGAAAATTTAATAAATGCCGTGGCGTTTATTCCAAGTAATACAGTAAACTGAAAAGTTTTTCAAATCTTTCTCTTTCTCTTTCCTCATTTTTTCTTTCACCTTAATTAATAGCTCTATACGAGGACTGCTTTGAGGATTTGCTGACCAAGAGCAATTGCAAACAATTGTTTTTACAAAAACTGGTGAAAAACTAGCTGCCTGAGGAACTAAAGTCCACTAGGTGAAGATATCAGGGCATTCTTTTATAGAATTTCTTTGTTGCTTTCGATGATGACTCTTCTTAGTAGTTATCCGTTTCTTTTTAAATCTATTTGTCTCATTTTTCTACGGGCGTCTATTAATTTTGTGATCAAGTCGACATGTCCGCAAGGGCAAGTTCCATAATCCATAATTATTCCAATATCCAATATTCCAAATTGTCAGAAAGGACTTTGTACCATTCCACCTTGAGGTACGCTCCGTTTGACCGAGATTGGACTGGGTTGAGAACATGTGCTCCACACAAAATGGCTGCCGTAGTGTACCTTGGCCGTCGTTTTAAATCATGCTTGCTACAGTCTCATCTTTGGAAGTCTTTTGGTTTATATGAAACGAGGCATCAATGCAACTCAAGTGTATGTAGACTGAGTTTTTACAGTGGACGAAGATGGAATACCCAGCGAAAATTGTCGACAGCAAAAGTCGGTATCCCAGCGTTCAAGAGTAACACATCAACTCGAAAATTTGATCACCCCGATAGAGATCGAAGAATTATGGTCGTATTGCAGAAAAAGAGAGGTGAGAAAGTGCTACAGCTTCACGAGGAAGACTTGCTTAACTACTTCTCCGTGTATGGGGAAATAACAAGCGTGAGTTGGGTGCGAACCAAGGAGACAGATCAAGATACCGGAAAGGGATTCGGGTTCGTGTCATTCAGCAGTGTTCCGTCGTTCCAGAAAGCTGTTGCCTCAAAATATCATACAATAGAGGGGAGGCCAGTGCTCGTGTTCCCAGCAACGAAGAGGGCAGACTCTCAGCCTTCAAGAGTGGCTCCTCAAACTGCAGTGGTAACAGATCAGCGGGCATCAGCATCTGATGAAATTGCCTCTGAGACTGCTCTCAAAATTGATGGGAAGAGATCTAAAGGGGCACCTGTTAAGACTTATTCGAAGCCCATGGCATCGCCCGATTGGACTGAATCAGGATCGATGAAGGCAGTACCTGAATCAGCTGCCACACTTGATCAAGGGACATCTGGCGAAGCACCTTTGATGACAGCTACTGAGCCAGGAGTGATCCCCAGAGAAACAACATATTCTGCTATGAATATAGCTCAACAGGCAACACAAGAGCAGAAAACATCTGTACAAGAAGAAGCTTTGAGCGCAGCTCCTCAACATGTGGAGGTTGCAGGAGGTGCCAAAAATGCACAAAAAGCATCAATGCATCTAGAATCTGGAAAAGTGAGATTTACAGGTAAAGCATCACCAGTGAGTCCTGAAGACCAGAAACGAAAGATTTTAGTGACTCAACGCAAAGGATGCAAAGGTGAAATGACATTGAAATCTGTGCATGATTATTTTTCAGTGTTTGGCAAAATTGAGCAAGTTCAAGAAAACAGTGACCTCATCTATGTTACATTTGAAAGTGCTAATAGTGCTGAACAGGTTATGACAATCACAAACCATAGAATTGACAATGTGATGGTGCTAGTGTCTTTGGCATATTCCAATAAACAGAGGAAACAATTGCGAATTGAGAAAGCACTGGACGATGTTAAAAGAATTCAAGATCCCAGAAAAATCAAGATTGCTGAACGAGAAGGAAGAAAAATTGTGATTATGACACCTACCAGGTTCAAAGAATCTATTAGCACAGAAATGTTAGAGAACTATTTTTCCTCTTATGGAGAAATTGAAGAGATACTTGTCATAAAATCGAAAGGTTATGGCTTTGTAATATTTAAAGAGGCAGGTGATGCTGAAAAGATCTTAAAAATTCAAAACCACATTATAGGAAATGTCGAGGTTTTTGTAAAATTGTCACTGGCCTCACGACATTTAACTCAAAATGAACCAAAGAGGATTGTTGTAAGTAACATTTCTGGAGAAACATCAGAAAGGGAAATCAGGAAACACTTTGGACAATTTGGAAAAGTGGTAGAAGTTGTGTTTGCAAATCCTTCAGATGATGGTGAAAGGCCAGATTCTTGCATAGTGGTCTTTGATTCTATCGACAGTGGAATTGAATCTGTTATTGGTGAATCCCACCAAATCTATACTCAACAAGTTGCACTTGCTGTCAAACTCCCAGAAGACAAAGTGATGCATGCACGTGATCTGCCAAACCTTTTTGTGAGTAACGTTCCCGAGAGCATGACACTAGAAATGATACGATCTTACTTTGAAGAGTTTGGATTGATCCAACACCTTGGTTTTACAAGTTACAAGTCTGAAGAGGTGATATCTAACTTACATGGCATTTCAGTGGCATTTTGTGACGAGTCAGTCCTTGAAAAGACTTTACAGAAAAATTTCCATGAAATAAATAGATTTTATGTGAGGGTGACCAGGGCACCCCTAATGTTCACTCCTTCTGATTTTCTTAGCTTAAGAATACTAATGACAAGCTTACCATCAGGTATCAGTAAACATGTTGTTGAAGACTATCTTCTTCAAAACTCATGCAGAGTGGAAACTATGAAATTCATCTCACCGACAGTTTGTTTAGCTGATTTGTGGAATTTGCGTGATGTGGACAGGCTGGTGGAACAGGCATCTAAGCAACAGCATGTCATTTGTGGAAGTCCAATTTCACTTCGTCGCTACTACTGGAACAAGAAACAGGAGGACAGGTTTTAATTTTGATTCAGTTGCTTTTAAGCCAGAAGAATGGACAAAGACCTAAGTTGAAGCTTGTTTCCTTGTTATTTGATTTATTGTCAACTCGACATTTGCAAACTATTAATAACTTGTGTGTGATTATTTTAAACCCTCTTTATCATTTAGGGTACAACTGATTCTTTTTTCCGCCACTGGCATTTCCTTGAAAATCAGTCAAGAGACTGTGGTGTACAATGCTCTGAGCTGTGGCCCTTTTACTTGCCATGGCAAAGATATTGAAAAAAATTTACATGCACAGTCACCAGTTTGGCTACCTGAATGCGGCCATCATATGGCCTTTCAAAGAGCACTTTCATAGAAAGATACCTGTACTACTAAAGAGATCCTAGTATGAGGGCCTTTAATGATGGTACAAGTATGTCTGGCTCTTTAGAGAGGAAAAAAATGAATAAAAGGAACAAATAGAAAGAAGGGCAGTCGTGATAGAATGCTAATAGTGACTGGCATTTAATTTCTCCCTACAACATCAGCCCTGAACAACATATCATAAGCTAAAGAGAATAAAGGAAATGATCACCAACTTAAGAAGCTCTTGATTGTTAAACAAATTCTCCTTGTCAGCACCTTAGGGAATGTAGAAAGAAAAGAATGGAGAATATGCATATTTATCTTAAGGCATAAAGGATTTAACTGGTGAGCAATGTGTTCTTTGGTTGAAGCAAGCTCAGTTTTTCAGAAAAATAATGAATTGTAAGCTGAGATTCCTGCCGTTATTTTAATTTTGTAGGCCCCTTTTGAGGCTGAAGATTTTATAGATGCACTACTTTTCATGAGTTTTGTCAAATTTTTCTTGGGGCGACAGTGAGTCTACACCAAACGGTACACAAAGCGGTTCACAAAACGGTCCACTAAATGTAAATAAAAGCAATATCGAGTCCTGGTTGAACATAAGAGACTGGGCTCAACTTTCGCTTCCCGCAATGCAGTGGGAAGAAATAAAATGGCGGCTGTGATTCGTCTCACGTGGACTAAATTTCTATACCCTCTTCTCGTTCACGCGCCTAGCCTTTCTTCTGCCGCTACTTTTTATTTAGCCAGAAACAGTAGGCTTCTATCCTATGCCACAAGGAATCTTTCTCCCGAACACCAGAAAAGGAAAATCATGGTCGTTGGCTTGAGAGATGGTTTGGTAGAAACTGACGCGGAGACTTTGGAACTCTACTTTAAAGCATACGGCCGAATCGAGCATGCAAAGATAGTTCGCGATCAATTGAGTGGGAAATCTAAAGGCTATGGGTTCGTGACATTTGAAAGTCCAAGCGTTGCAGGGAAAGTTCTTTCCTCACCAAACCACCGTATCGATGGCAAGGACGTGCAAGTGTTATTAGCATTGAGATCTCAGAAAAAATTCCGCGAATCGCCAATTGCAAAAGATATCCAGTCACAAGAACTGCAAGAAAGGAAAATATTTGTATCTGCGCTCAAAACTGGTGAATATAGAACAACCGAACGGGATTTGAAGGATTATTTTTCAAACTTTGGAGAAGTTGAAGATGCCATGATTGTTTTTCCGAAAAGTTATGGGTTTGTAACATTCAAAAATCCGGCGACTATCAAAGATGTCTTGTCAAACCCTATGCATATCATTAAAGGGTGGAAGATAAATGTGGAAAGACCTTTTAAGACTAAAGACAAAACTGAGATCGCACGAAAGAGAGAAAGGACGATAAATGTCTATGGTCTTTCCCCTGAAATATCAGACAATGACCTCCTCGAGCATTTCTCAAATTTTGGGGAGGTGGAGCAGGTTATTGGAAGGGATTCTGACAGCAGCCAAAACAGTCAATGCATGGTTGTGTTTAAGAGAGAAGGTGCAGCCAAAATGGCTTTGAAGCAACAAGTGCAAGTGATTGCATCTCAGTTAAAAATTTATGTAAAACCATTGTCTGTCAATAAAGAATCAAACAAAGTACTGGTACGTGGTGCCCCTGCAGATGTTACCTTGGAAGCATTACAACTCTACTTTGAACAGTTTGGAGACATTGTGCGAATGGACCTAACATCAGATCATCATCGTCCCACACATGCTGATATCCATGGCTTGAAATATCGAATCAACATAGGTTGGCCCACTGTTGAGTTTGCAAATGTAGACGCTGTGGAGAAAGTCTTACTACATGATCATGTGATCTGTGGCCAGGATGTTGACGTAAGGAGAGTGGATGAAAGGGCTTTGTCAACCGGTGCATTTAAATTAGAGACAGAGCGAAGCATGATGATTCTAATTGATGATCTAGATCGGAACGTTAGCAAGGAAACTATCATTGATTATTTCACAGGTCAGTCACTGATGGTTCAGTCTGTGGTGCTTAGGTTGGAGAGTAATGCCTCTATGTCTTGTGTGGTGGGGTTTTGGAATTTGGATGACGTTGATGAAGTTGTCAATCAAGCATCAAAACAAGATGGTATTTTATTTATTGGTGGTAAGCCAGCATTTGTGCGACGCCTTCATTGGGAGAGTACGCAAGAAAACATGGAAAACAATACACGAGGAGACTTGTTAAATGATTATTAGAGCAACTTTTGACTAAAAATTTTAAACCGTAAGAGTGACAAGCAACAAATTTCTCCTAACAATAATTATGATCCCTGAATCATGCACTAAGGTTACCAGAACAAATAACTAACTTATGGTAGCCCACCAGCCACAGACTAGAAGAAATTCAGTTTTGGCTAGTGGTTTTCAATTTCCAGTAGCCAGTTTGGCTAGTAAACAAACTGAAATTGTCATAACATCTAAGATGTCACTAGCCACTTGGCTGGTAAGTTGAAAAGTTAGTGTTGAGCCCTGTAAAAAGTTTTGATTGTTAAACAAAATTCTCGTTGTCAGCACTGAAAGATAGAGGACTGAGAATATTAATACCGATATTAGGGCATAGAAAGTTGAGTCACTAGAAATCCAGAATACATCACTATGCTCTGTGATTTCTTTAGAAAACTATTTCCTCACTCAACCAATCAGATGCTATACTAATTGCACTTATAACATAGCTTGTAAATTTGTGCAATCAAATTCAATTGCACAAGCATGCTTCAATTTCTCATTGTGCACATTGATGATGTGAATTTACACACTTGAATTTACCTGTCAGTTTTTGACCAATCTGAGGTGAGATCATTGATGCATAGCAAAATACTTACTTTTCCAAAACAGAATAAACAATGTACTGAAGCATAGAAGAGGGAATTTCTGCCCTTTATACATAAACTTCAGTGTTGAAAATGTTATAAAACAATTGGTTCAAGTGTCAGCTGTGCATTCAACAAATATTGAAGCACTTGGGAAGTTAGGAGCACACTCGAGAAGCTAGAGTTGCTTTTGGCTGCACCTTGAGCAATTCTTACGCATCTTTTGAGCGCTCCAAACTTCCTGCAGGCTTCAATTCTTGATGAATGCTTGCTGATGCATGAACTAATTGTTAACTGTGACTTAACCACTTGCAATTTTTAAATTTTTTTTTAAAAGCAGGGTAGAGACTTAATTTAGAATTGAACCTTTAAGAACCATAAGTTTTCACTGCTTAAAGGAAAAAATGCAGCTAACCTAAGTCACACTTAAAATCTATACTAAAAGAAAAACCATACATTTCAAAGATATTTAAAACAGCTTTAAAAATACAGGTTTTGTTAAGTGTAGTGAATACTCCTTTACTGAAGTGTAATTGTTTACCTCAAGCTGTGGTCTTTTCTGATATCGTCCTTTATTTTCCCTCACTTGTCATCAGTGTAGCTATTGCTGCACCAAGTACTTTGCTACTCATATGCACTACCCAGAAAACATTCAATTTTTACCAGGTAAAGCTAAAACAAAAACACTTCATTCCAGAACGTTTAATAAATTATTTTAAGTAGATATAAAAATAATGTGAAAAAGCCTTAAGTTTTTTAACTGGTTCATAACAGTGCCAAAAACTTCAAAAGGACTAATAGTGGCTGTGAATTGTATCAGTCATCCAGTTGAGAATATGATGAAAAGAAAATGCGTTGCGGATGTGCCAAGTCATCCATCACGTGACACTTGAGGGACCAAGGCTGACTCGGCAGTTTCCTGATGAAGGCCATGTGATGAGGCCGAAACGTCGATCGTCGTCTATAATTTTCTAGTATTTGAATTATTTTCTTTTTATCAAGGACTAATAGTATTTGCCAACTAACCCTTTCTCTCCCAGAAGTGATTAACATGTAACTTCTCCTTATAATATCCATACATAATCCAGCAAACAGGCAATAAGAATACTCAAACTAATCAGGTATAGGTTGTTACCTTGATCTAACATGAAATTCTTGTAACTAATTTACGAGGAAATATGAAGCAGCTAGAGGGAAAATTAACAATCAAATCTAAGAAGTTAAAAGAGTTACTTTGTAACATTATGGACAACAAAAAATGGTTAAGGTTGGTAAAGATGCAGTCAAGCAAAGTGGCCCATACAGCAGGAACTCTTCCTGATTTCCATAGCATGAAGCAACAATAATTAGTACTACTTCTCCCCCCTCCCCCCGTGATGGGATGCCATCCATCACACAGTTACCCCTCAGCATTTCTTCAAGCTTCCTTGACAATTGCCTGCGTCCGTTTACACTCCAGAGTGGAGAGAGAAGCATTGTGAACACAATGAAGTAATCGTTTTGTCCGGGAACACAACACAATGACCTAACCAGGTTTCAAACTGGGACCTCTTGAATCAGTGCAGGGGCCTGTTTCTCAAAAGTCTTGGTATCTTAATGGGCCTGTAAAGCTGTTCTGTTTTCATCCATGATGGAGATTTCAAAAGTCACTTAAAATGATTCAATAAACCTATCAGTTAAAGAAACAAAAAGGACTGGTTTGGCTGCCAGAACCTGCTTTCTTATCCTTTAAATTTTTATTTTAAAACATGGCTTTGGGTCTGGTAAGCTAACGGGGCTTTCATGAAACAGGCTCCAGGGCACTAACCACGGGCTCAATGTGTTGTACTAAGAATGGTAGGCCATAAATTTCGCTTAGTGATCTTCTAGTATGGACAGTTCTCTGACATCCCTACCGACCTTTAAGGTCGGTTCTCAGTCAAAACAACATCCATTTAAATGCTTTATATGATCTACAACAATTTAAAACTTAAAATCTCAGTGGTTGCAATTTAAAATTCTTCATGTTTGTGCCATGCAGGGTGTTCAGTCTGTGTTACAGTGTTGTCTTCCATAGATTCAACAGCTTGCAAAGCTTCCTTTGTGTCCAAGTGAACCCGCTTCAGGCGATTTATTAGATCTTCATCATCCTCACCTGCTGGCTTGAAGTCACATCCCCTATAGCCTTTGGAATCTTTACAGAACTTTATGAATCTGGTGAGAGCAAATTAAAGAGAAATATTTGTTGGGTTCTTGTGATCAACAACTGTAAGAATATTACACTTTGTATAATAAAGTGGTTGAGTTTATAGGATTTTAGTGTTTTAATTATACTTTAACAACACAAATTGAAGTGGCTCTAATAACTTGCTTGCAAATGCAGTTTAAAAAATTGTAAATGTTAAGAATTAAATTTGTGACCAAATTTCTAGTTAAAAAACTCCTGCCTTAAATTATCACAACATGCAACAAAGTCTGTTGATTACCTTTTCCAGTGTCGATCTTTGCTTAGAACGTGAGGATTTCCAACCACAATCAGTAAAGCTTGAGCCCTTGTGATTGCGACATTAAACCGCTAAAAAAGGTTAACAGGAAATATCTCTCAATTAGTATTAATAACTCCTGGAAACAACTTAAGCTTTAATTTATAAGTATATAGCTAAAAAGGTTATTTAAAAATTAAGGTAATTTGGTTTTATCAACTAAGTTGATATAATGTAAATTGGCCTCTGTAAAGAGTTTAAAAGCAAATTAACTTGTTTCCACCACCAACACAGCACCACAATATCTTTACAAACTTACCCCCTTTATTCATTTATCTTAAAAAATGATTAATGTAAAAAACATTTAGAATTGATTTAAAATAAATAAACAGTCAAACATTAAATATAAAAATCTGGTGAAAAGTTATCAGGGGTGAGGGTCGTATATTGAAGGGCACCAGAATCTTGCCTCCTTGATGAAGAGTTTTGTAAACTAACTTAAAGGTACTTTATGATTCATATCATTTGTACATGAGTACCAGTTTTGCTCTAGTCCTCCGAATGAAGGCAAAGTGAAAAAGCAGGTCCCATTGGAATTATTTAAAAATGCAGTTTTTCCTTTATGGAGGAACAAACCTTTGGATTCTTCAAGAAACCCAGTTTGAACTGTGCATCAAGCTGAAGATATTCATGGCTGCTTCGCACTGTGGATATGATAATAACTCGTCTTTCTTGTCCTTGGAATTCTTCAACAGAACCAACCTTCACATCTGTAATGTTAGCCTTGTCAAGCAGAATCCTTATTTTCTGAACCTTAAATTGATTAGCATGTAGACGTAAATTATTAATTTCATTCAGAAATTCAAACTGAACTACCACTTTTATCTGTTTTTCTCATAACTTTTGATTAAGCCCTTCACTTGTAACTTAAAAGATGGGGGGGATCTTTCCAAATTCAAAGTATCTGGAGCGATCTCAGTCTACAACCATTTTTCAATTCATAATACTTATAGTGTTTTGTACTTCTTATGACATTGATTATTTTGATCATTTTCCTGATCAAGATTTAACATGTTATTTACATGTCATTTATAGAGATACTGATGAAATACCAGGATTTCTCCTTTTACTAAAAAATCATATCTTTACCGCGCGCAGTGAAGATACCATTTTTATCTTTCACCTGCGAGGATATTGGTGTGGCCATGGTTACCAACATAATTACCCAATTGCTGTTTCGAAAAATGAATAAAAAAAAGTTGTCTTTTATGTGGAAATTTCATCAGTATTTATATATTAATAAACAGAACATTACATGGCTGCTTCGGGGTACGAATTTTATCTTCTCGTGCTGAGAGATACTTTCAGCACGAGAAGATAAAATTCGTATCCCCAAGCGGCCATGTAATATCCTCTATTTAACACATAACTATTTAATATACATAGAATGTACCTGTTTTCTGTAGGGTGAAATGACCCCAATCTGAGAGGTAAGCACATTGATTCCTCTTGCATCCTTCAAGTCTTTGACATACTGCACAACCACAGCTGCCTCCTCGGGGTTGAAGAATGATGGACTTTTCTCCTCACGCATGTCACGTCCCTTGATTCCTTCAAAAACAATTGGAAATCCCTTGCAAGGAAGACGACTCCAGTTGCATAAGGATTCTCTTTTTAGCTTGTCAGCACAGGATTCTAGTTCATCATCGTAGAACATCTCATTCGGCAGCTGGAGAAATAAAAAAATGTGATGTTGAAAAATTGATGAGAACATGCATATAATTATGTCATAATCAGGGGATTCAATAAACCTAAACTCCAAAAGCAGCTTTCAATGATGTCATAGGCAGCTGGGCCTGGAAAAGGGGTTGTAAGGCAAAACCCTAGGAGATTAGACAGATGGTGGTACAACTCCTGTAAAAGTTATCGAAACCGGCCAATTATATTAAAAGCATAGTTCAATTTGATCTATAATCTCTGAGAGTGAAGTTCACAGGAGACTTTTTCCTTTGCCTCTGTAATATTAACAGTGATGTTGTGGAAGTAACAAGACTGAGTTCAGCTTCTGCAGAAATGCTCCCAAAGTTAGAAGGGTCAGGCCCAAGCTGTTAGAGCTGGTTAAGAGTTACTTTATTCAACTGATAATAAAATCTCTATCTGGTGGATAGCTTAGTAAGTTTTTTTTATCACATATATCTGCTGGTTTGCTCTTCATCAGTTGGATAGCATTACTGGTGCCTGCCCTTTGAACAACTGCAGCCAGCTGCAGTTCCATCTAGTATCTACGCTTTGCATGTGCAGGCTGTTGAACTCATACACCTTTTTAACCCACCTCTAAGATAGATGGATGTGATCTGTAGTTCTTCAATAACTTTGTGATAATCAGTGGGTTATACTCTCCAAGTTCATCTTCCTCATCGTGTCGTATTCGTCCATAGAAAGGCAACTTTGTCATCATCCATTCCAAAAGGGATATACCAAGGCCATGCTGGAAAAAAGAAATTTAATCAAATGCCAAACAGTGAGAATATTACATAATTCTGCACCACCCAATTAAGCCTATCTGCAAGTTATCACGATTTATTTTACCTTAATAGCTACTGGAGATCGCAGCACTGGGCCAAGCTGTTGGGGGTCCCCTGCTAGGACTAGTTGTCCCCCTCCTGGAGTTTCTGTGCTGAACATTCCTGCCAGGGGGACCAAGCATTCAGGCTGCAAGGAGTGGCCAGCTTCATCAATGAACACATGAGTGAAGTGATGGTTGGGAATCTCAGCCGAGACTAACCTGAAAGGGGTAAAAAAAAATTGATAAATAAGCCAGAAAAAAAAAAACTGTCAGATACATTGTAAAACAATCACAATTATCCTGACTTAGAAATTTTAATGACTGATAACTGGTGTGCCAATGCAGTATTTTATGTAGTTTTTTGTGTGCATGGAATTTCTTTTTTGTCATTATGCCATCTTGATTGAGAGTCTGTGCATTTTAACTGGTATATAGCTGTTCACGGCAAAATAATTTTACCAGTGAATTATAACCACCATGAGCATATTCTACTGTGATGGTTACAATTTTTTTAAAATTTGCTTTACAGTGCTAGTGCCCTATTCACATTTTTCTTCATTGTAATTTCAGTATGACCTTCAAACAAAAGTGTAATTATAATTGTAATTACTTTACAAATATATCAAAATTAGCAGTCATTGTCAGTGATAACAACCTTCCTGCAGTGATCAGAGTGCAAACTACAAGACGCTTGTCCATGATCTCCTCTTTACATGGGAAAAAGAAGTCCCCTCCTGATGTCAGACAGCAGACATCCTGCAAATAAGAGGTGTAATCATCTAACATCAGTATGCATGTTCTCCATACTAGCTGTCCTCTAGACATTTCCCAAGGTACAGACTGAGGGAAGAATTAATTTGCTTAACAATTAAGAGTCTCAATTTATTACAAGTAGTCTTTGTAGCCATTGTTTGGTCTTGTCACCCAACTGACTTTTTCTGACCCCACCACTGCAAGGGTGATAATTTCCTTTGTTATCCGAATGTGCTTTGTAGGGTACAAATAATTAACACGCAAGATGAGTACAAATGACATGATATTTGTACTTCAGAAATATGCACAAAATTTGCCTGCACTGAAATAGCAATTTGCCCTGTTGGATAATAAATCTCTTATATAAGCGTATTGTTGTGTAGTATTGCTATGTGTTGTTTGTATTTTGACTTGCCCTACAGGCTTATCAAAATACAGCACAACTTGTAAAAAAATATTAATACTCAGCGATACTACACAACAAAATGTCTAATAAGATATATTTATTTTAGTGTCCATAATGTTTAATTCAGGGGCGATAAAGTAAGGAGAAATAAGAGGCTGGTCACTCTTAAGCATTAAAGACCAGGTTGATAATTATAAATCATAACATTTTTTGCCAGTGCACAATTTCTCTTACCTTAATATCTTTTGGCAGTGATAACAGTGACCTTCCAAAGGCATTCAGCCGAATGGCCTTTGACCTTGGGATAACTGTGTGCTCCATAACTCTCTGTAATAGCAGATCTGCTGCACTGTTGGATGGAGCACAGGCAAGAACGCAACTCTCAGGGAACAACTTCAATACCTGAAAATGTATCAAACATCTTTATTTAGAATTAATTTATAAAGAAATAAATTTAATTTAAAGGAAATTATTATTGGTATTAGAGCATTTTTTATGGTCATCAGTAAACTTAATAGCCAATGATATAAACTTAATATAGACAATTGAAAGTGATATTATATTAGGTATCAAGGAAATCTGGTCTGTATTACTTCAGTTAATACACATTTGTAGCATATGGATTGAGATATTCCTATTAATGGCCTTTAAATCCTGAAATCAAACATAGTACCAGGGCTTGACCCAAACTTTTCAACTTACTAGCCAAGTGACAAGTGTAAACTTAGATGTTACGACAATTCCAGTTTGTTTATTAGCCAAACTGGCTGGTGGAAATTGAAAATCAATGGCCAAAACTGAATTCCTACTATCCTGTGGCTTGTTGGCTACCATTAGTGTTGAGCCCTGAATACACTTGGGCAGCCTGTGACCAAACCTGTTTGATAGCTTCCACTATTGTCACAGTCTTTCCTGTTCCAGGAGGTCCAAAAACCAGGTATGGAACTGGTCTTGATGTCCCAGCAACAATGTTCTTCACAGCCTGTTCCTGTTCCTTGTTATCCTGAAGCTTTGCATCAAAAAAACTACAAGCAATTTGAAAATATAAATGACTTGTGTAAGTGAAATTTTAAAAGATTTCAAATAGGGATGGGAAAGATGTGTAATAAAAAATTCCATTCCCAAAAGTGATAACCATAGAAATTCTCATCACAGTTTAAATACATAATCCAAGAAATGGGTAACAAGAAAAGACAGACTCGTTGGTGTCAGAGGGTGTTACTAGGATTGTAAAACAGCAGACTCTCTCAATTTTTTGTTATAATCTAATCTACAGGAATTTATAGTGGCTATAGAAGGAAGAATTATTTCATAAAACTGCAACACATCTTGGGAATGAAATTAAGAATTCTAGACTGACGTTCTTAATTAGAATTGAATTATTTTTAATTATACATTAATGATAACATCCTGAAAAGTGTACAGTCACACCTCGTGACCAGACATGTTTTGTTACAACTTTATATAATCATTAACTCTTTATACCCTAAGAGAGACCAACATTTCATTTCTCCTCACAGTCGTTCTGCTGACTGATTCATTAAGATCACAAGAAGAAAGGAAATTGATCGTCAACTTTAGAAGCTTTGATCATTAAGTGAATCTTCCTTAACTGACTTTCACTCCTAATATCTCATTTATTTTAATTAGTAATTCTCATTATAGTCTGCCACATACAATTCTTATGATATTAGTTTGGAGAATTTGGTATTGGATCAACTGATGATCCCCTAATTGACATTTTTCTTTATTAATTCTCATCACTTGTCTGACCGATATGGTTTTGATCGTGGAAAGAGAAATTCTGTCTTGGTCACTTGTGGGGGTATTAATAAAAGGGTTAAGCTTGTCGGCATACTGGTTAGCTCAATTGGTAGAGCGCTGGACTGTTGTGTGGGAGGTGAAGGGTTTAAGCCCTGGCTGGACCAACACTCGCGGTCTTAAAATAAAGGAGAATGTGCTACCTTTCTATGACATCAAGAAATGGATAGATAAGGACGAATATTTAACCATAGGTCCCGTCTCCTGCAGGGTTAGGGGTAGGAGACGTTAATTTCCCACACACAAGATCACTGTGTGGTGGATGTCCTCCCCTGGGATGGGATGGGTGGGTATATCAGCTGAAGATGGGCTGTATTGCCCTTTGCAGATTAGACATTTAGATTTAGATGATGTTATGGTGCAAAGGGTTAATAAACTTTCAATTAAAAAGAAAATAATCTTTAAGATCATAATACCTAAAATCTAGCTCACTTCCTTGCAAGAAAGGATCTAGGTGTGTGCCAACTGCAAGTCTTAAAGAGGCAACTTGTGTCTCTTCTTCTATCATTTGGAAACCAATTTCTAGAGCTCTATGCATCAGTTTTAAGGGTGTTCTGTTAAATGTGAATCTGACATTCAGTTTCATTCCCATGATATATTTCGTATGGAATCTGGAAGGGAAAGAAAACTTACTAAGTATAGCAGGCAGAGGTAAAAATCTGTAGCCAATTGTGATCAGTTGAGTGATCATGTTATCAATAAACAAGCTAGTGAGTCAGTCAATGGATTTAGTGAGTCAGTCAGCAAATCAGTTATACCATAGCAGGTAGGTCACAGCCACTCACTGGGTGGATTAGTAATTTACTCACTCAGTCAACAGAGCTGAATAATGAAATGCTACGTCAGCAGGTATGCGGTCAACAGTGGGGGCTCAAGTATCCTAGGTTTAAAATTTAGTGAAATTAGCGGAAAATAATAAGGGCTGACCTTTAAAACCGAGGAACTCTGTTTTCATCGAAGGCACTTTCCTATTTCCAAAGGTTTACAGGAGAAAATTCATTTTTGAAAATTTTTAGGGGGTGTACCAAATTTTTGGAGGTTGTTCTGTAAAAGAAAAGCAGCAAGGAAAATGACGCCTTGAAGCAACAGAATAGGAAATCAACCATGCGAACGACTCAAAATCTGTGTTTCCGTGGCAAAACCTGGCGCATGCGTTTACGTTATTCAGCTCTGTCCACTAAGTCTGTTAGTCATTTATTCAGCCGTCTGTAAGTCTCTGAGTCAGTCAGTGGCCAGCTAGTGGGTGAGTCAGTAAGTCAGTCAGTAAGTCAGTCAGTCACTTTTTCAGTCAGTCAGTAACTGATTCATCCACTGAGTGGGTGGGTTAGAGTGAGTAAGAAAGTAAGAGAACAAGTAAGGGAGTGAATGAGCCATTGAACCAGTCAGTCTGTCAGCTGGTTAGTCAGTCAACCGCCTAACCACCTAACTCACTTGGGAGAGAACTTTAAATGCACATCATTTAAGCCTAAGATGTGGACAAATCCTTGATACTCTTCTTTTTCTAGCTGCCCTTTGTTGTCTTTCATCCTCACCAAGATCTGGTCACCTCTCACAACTGATGGTCGATTCTCTGCAAGTCCAGGAACCTGAACAAAAAAAAAAAAAACACCATCAGCACATCATAATCACTGCCTGCTGTGTCTTTTGTGTTATTTGGGCATATCACATCTTCTGAAATAAATGTCTTGAGTCAATTATCCTTTTTTTGAGACCTTTTCACGAAGATAAGGTTTTCCTTCACGTACCTGTTTAGCAAAGTTTGCTAAGGCTCTCAGAGAATTTCTAGGATCAGTTTGTGTTATTGTCAGTAGTGTTCTAAAAAGTCTGAGAATTAAATAGTGAGGAAGTCTTTGGCCTGTCACTGTCTCTGGTCAAGTTAAACTTTGTCTAAGGCCTATTGGCCGGGTCACATTATTTTACCAAAATGCTGTCATGTGTAATATTAGTGACACTACCTTTAGGATCAGAAATCCTCCTTGAGTCGATGGAGTGAGAACCACATCCTCCATGTCATAATGACGAATGTCAACTTCCATTTGAAGTTCCTCAATGTGAAGAAGTGAAGCAAACTTTTGAGAGTATTCTGGCATTTGTGGTGCAACTTCAAGCTCCAAGAGTGTTGATAGTTCTTCACCAGGTTTGCCTTGATTTAATCACAGACGCAATTGGAAGGGGATGTGGTAGTCTTTGAGAGGGGTGGCGTACCGCAGTTTACTGTCAGGTCTGCACATAAAAGAAGATACGTGTATATTTGGTCTGCTGGCAATTAAATTTATGTCACATCAAGTACAAATATTGTGCCAATCACAGTTAAGTTAACAATCACTAAAAACTCCATCCCCAAAACTCGAAATTAGATTTGTCATCAGAGGCCCAGATGTGTTCTAAAACGACCCTGTTAGCATCATGCTCAAAATTTATATTGGCCAGTTGGCACATTATGCTTGAGTGACTGGATGCATGGCACAACAGCATCATTTAAGAGTGCTGTTCAAAAGACTTTACCTCAGAACATTCTTGTCCAAAAAAGTCAACAGTTATTTTTTCATTTACAGAGAGTTTGGCAAATGGGTGTTTAGTATCTCAAATTTTCTTATAACATACAGTTTCTTGTAGTGATTACAGGACTTTGCATTGCTCACTTTAGTCTGCGTGCTATTATAAAATTATACTTATTGATTGCTTAACATTTTCTAATTTTTTTTGTTAGTCAACAAACAATCGCAGACACAATAATGAATCATAACTCAATCCAATTATCATTAAATACTCAGCTGATAATTTTTTTTGCCAACATACCGTGGAGGAGGAATTCCACCTATGATTTGAACTTTGGGATCCACCACTCTTGCTACAGCCTTGGGATGCCGATACTTGTGTACTGGAAGGATGCTCTCGACATCCTCATTAGTCCCTTGTCCCGTCAAGAACCGCGCTATGTGATATGTCTGTGCTGTGTCTCCTTCCTCTTCAAATTCAAACACAATTGGCTGCTTAAATTCTCCTAGACAGCTTGGTTTAAAGAGTGCTGATATTTTGTAAGATTTCCCAACAGGTAGTTTAATAACCTTATTGACTTTTCCAGTAACTGTGACACTGTGTTTATCCGAAAGCATAAAATCACTCACAGACTCCAGGGCTACAAATCGCTTCAGTTTAATGGCATTGGTACCTGCATTCTTCACAGTAATTTCTGTGATTGGCGCACTATCTGTTAAACGCGTTTGGCCAAAATCTATCACACCATGTTCCCTGTCCAAATCTGAACAAACTCTTACTCCATTTTTATCTTGGATGAACGATTCTCTGCACAAAAGAACAACATGAAGAAACTCTCAGTTTATTCACACTTTAACACCAAAAAATGACTAAAATATAACTTTTCCCTATAACATCCATACCAAATTCCTGGTAATAATTTATAAGGAAAAAGTTTAGTACCTAGAGAGAAGAATCAGCAATCAAATCTTGGGAGTTATCTGTCAAGGGTTAGGGGTCACTCTTCTATTTAACAATTATTTGCTGAAGGCAAGGTGAATATCATCAAATAATCCCTGAGACGAAGTCGAGGGGATTATTGGACAATATTCACTGAACCTGAGGCGAATAATTGTTTTAGTATAATTTCAGAGCTGAACTACTGAGAAATTTCTAAAATCATAACATTTTAGTAACATTTATTAACATTTTATTTTAACATTTTATATAAACCGCATGGAGTGGCTTATATACCGCCTCCCGGATAGCTCAATGGATAGAGTGCTGGACTGTTGTGCGGGAGGTCGAGGGTTCGATCCCCGGCCGGACCAACACTCAAGGTCTTAAAATAATTGAGAAGAATTTGCTACCTTTCTATAATTAACATCAAGAAATGGTTAGATATTCTAGTCTTCTCGGATAGGGACGAATAAATGGAGGTCCCGTCTCCTGCAGGGTTGGGGTAGGAGACGTTAATTTCCCACACACGAGATTACTGTGTGATGGATGTCCTCCCCTGGGGTGGGATGGGTGGGATATAGGGCGCACTTAATTTGGAGCCTCGCTCTGTTGTGCGACCCTCACCACACTCTGGTGAAAGTGATTAAATAANGAGTGCTGGACTGTTGTGCGGGAGGTCGAGGGTTCGATCCCCGGCCGGACCAACACTCAAGGTCTTAAAATAATTGAGAAGAATTTGCTACCTTTCTATAATTAACATCAAGAAATGGTTAGATATTCTAGTCTTCTCGGATAGGGACGAATAAATGGAGGTCCCGTCTCCTGCAGGGTTGGGGTAGGAGACGTTAATTTCCCACACAAGAGATTACTGTGTGATGGATGTCCTCCCCTGTGGTGGGATGGGTGGGGAGGTGAGATCGATAGACTGAAGCAGCTGCCAGAGGCGCCTGATATGCTGACGTCTGTTCTCAACCTTACACTGCGCCCGTAACTCAGCCTCTGGGCTGCAAGTGGTCCGATATAAACTATATTCGTATAACTATATTCGTATATAGTGTCATATAATGAACCGCTCAACCAATCAGATTGCTGGAAACTCTTTGCTCAGCTCTGAAATTATACTAAAGAGAAATGCAACTGAGCACAATTTTGTTTGTTCAGTTCTAGATCACAGATGAGGTCACAATATCATAGATCAGAGTACACAGTCAATCAAAGGTTACATCAATAACCTAACTTACTTGTGTTTGAGAAATAACTTTTTCAACTCCATCACAGGATCATCATCATCGTGTTCTGAAAACTTTTCCCTGTCTGTTTCATCAATATCCTTTTCATCATCTTCTCCCTTTGCTTTGGATGCCTTTTTTTGCTTGCGTTGCACAAATGACTGGTCGACTGCTAGGACCAAGCGACGGCCCTTCCGTTCAAAGTATAACAATGTATCAGAACCATCTTTACTCTTAACCAATTTCTTCATCCTTTTGAGGTGAAACAAGATTGTGGAGAAAGACACAGTAGGTGATGAATGATCCAATGTTTTCTTAAACTGATCATAATACACCTGTCTAAGCTCCATTTTAGTGGATGGTCTGAGACGCTCTGTTGACAAGAACTTCCAGAATTGTTTTGTGACATTCTTTTTATATTCATTTCCTGGATGAGGCATTTTTGTTTCCTAAATCCTATTCAGGTTGGAAAAAAAATGAAGGTTTAGAATAAGACCCAGTCTAATAATAATAATAATAATAATAATAATAATAATAATAATAACTGATAAAACTAATCAGCAATCTAATAGATCGGCTGGTATAAATTAGTGATCAGCATGATAAATAGTATCGATCAAAATCAAAGGAGAAACCCTATAAAGAACTATTAAAAGTCTGAATTAAAATTAAAAAAAAATATAATTAAAAAAAAAAGCTAATACTTTAAAAAACACTTTGACCGCTAAGGGTGACTAACATCTAATTTCTCCTTACACTGTCCCCCCCTGAATCACACATTCAGGTCAGGAGAATAAAGGAAACAATCACCAACTAAAGAAGCTCTTGATTGTTAAACAAATTCTCCTTGTCAGCAGCTTAGGATATGAACAGAGAACAGTTTGGAGAATATGCAGACTGATGTTAGGTGTTAAAGGATTAATGATCATAATCATTGTTCAAGGGACCAGTCAACAAAAATACTCTGCAGTTTAGCCTACAAAAAGTACCTCAAAATAGACTACTTTAAAGGCATTGAACTGAAGATCTGGCAGCTGTTTAAACGTGTAGTGCAGACCTTGGAATATAGAGACTATTTCTTTGACATTAAACTGATGATCTGGCAGCTGTTTGACATGTAATGCAGATGTCAGCAAGTATTCCGTACAACCCGTCATCAATTATGGTTACTTCTATACAGTTCATGGATAAAGAAACAATAGCAAAAATACGAGATTTCCATCAGGAATACAGCTTTGTTCTAAAATTGTCAGAGGTTTTACCGAAATCTTTCCGAGATCTTTTAGTCCAGCATGAAAAGGTCTCCGGTTTACTAAAGATCCATTCATCATCCGATCCAAAGTCGGATAGTAAAAAAGAAATGACATGTCTAATCTCGATCGTTGGTTAAATGCACATCAATCCAAGTGCCAAGGGTTCTGATTAGAGCACATTGCGTGGAAAAAAATTGCTTAGAGCACTATTACTGAAGTAGAATAAAGTAGAAAGAAAACGTTACACTGCACAAGGTTTTTCCCACCTTTTAAAGTGGTCGACGAAATCCAGACTCCAATTTTTAAGGACGATTAAATTCGTTGGTGATTACTTAAAACGATCGCTTTACCATAAACGTTGAAACGTTATAAATAGAATACATAAATATATCAAAATTTCTTTTTAAGAAAATTTACAAAGAAAAATTCAAGATTGGTAGAATTAAAGTTTCGTTTACAAAATTCTTACAAGGAAAACAACTGGCGGCCGCCATGTTGAATTCCCGGGTCCGGAAGTTAACAGCGTATCGAGGCTGCCTCAACTGCAGGGGTTTCTGGGAGGAAGTGGCTATTTCCAAGATGGCGCAGTCCCTATCAGATGAAGAATTTACTCGAATGCAGGTGCTTTGGCTTAACATTAACAACCGATTTGATTTGGTAATAATATTTTTATTTTTATGTGTCTTTTTTTATTCTAGACACAGCTCATTGAGCTGCGTACCTTGAATTACGAGCTGGAATCTAATTGTCAAAGACAACAGACAGGTATGTCCACGATCAATATTTTTTATTTCGTTCTAAAGCGCTTGTCATTTTGCAGTTATTAAGAGTAATTACTTCCGTAATCGTTCTTTTTAGCGAATTATGATATGGATGATGTTAATTTGGCACGGTTGAGACTCAAAGTGTAGACAAAAACGCGTGTTAATCCTGAGATGCTCAAAGGTAGTTACTTTATCGTAAGGTAGATATTTTATCGTAAATTTTGCAACACGGAAAAAGTTTAAGTTTATACATGCAGAAGTAATCGTTCGATTCTTAGATAAAGAAACCTGAAGTATCTTTTTTTTGTCCTTTATCCCATATGAAATTTAATTCAAATCTTTAACTATATGGTTTTCTTAAAAGTCACCTAAAACAATTCCCAAGATTATACCAATTTAAAACAGTGTTATCCCGTGAAACACCCTAACATCAGTATGCATATTCTCCATACTGTCCTCTATACATTTCCTTTGGTGCTAACAAGGAGAATTTGTTTTACGATCAAAGTTCCTTAGGTTAGCAATCATTTCTTTTGGCTAAACTTCAGAATACTCGCCCACATCATTTCCGTGTCATTGAATAAAAATAGCGCCTATTGTGTTATGCCTCATTCTTCAAAGCCTCCCGACATATGTAAATGATGTGGACGGGTATTCTCAAGTTGCGCCTTTCTTTTATTTTCATGATCCTAATGAACTATTCACTGAATGATGAATTATTTACTGTAAGGAGAAATTAGATCCTGATCATTCACTGGGTTTAAAGGGGTATTCCCTGCAATTTGGATAACAAAACAAGGACTTGGTATAATCTTACATGATTCTTCGTCACTGTTCGGCGAGTTGCTTCAATAACAGTTTTTTTCTGACTGTGTCCTGTCACATCACGCATTTACACTCTTGGTCAGAGAAAGGCTTTTTTGGAGTTAAATCCTTGCTCAAGAAAACAACACAGAAGCTAGCCAGGACTCCTACCCAGGCCCCTCACTCAAATTTTGTCTTTGCCAGGTCTTGGAATTTTAGTAAACTGAGTGAAGAGAATATCTTAGACTATGAGCAGCTCCTCCTTTTCAGCATTTAAAAGAATTGTTGTTAGCATGCTGCGGAAACTCTTGTAGTGACACCAAAGTGCTGCAGGAGCTCTATGAGTTAGATGCTCAAAAAGCAGGGACTTAGCCAATAAAGGAGGGACTACTTGTAGTCTAAGAATATTTTGACAGTTTTATTTTTTTCTTTCTGAATCTTAGAACTTGGTCAGCTTCAAGAAAAATATCTTAGTCAGGAGAAAGAATTACAAAAAGCAAACAAGGTAAGTCTGCTCTCATCAGGTAAACTCAGCCCTTATTTCAATTTATTTCAACTGTTTATGAGAAGTTTTTCTGTGAAATTGTCAGAAATTAATGCCTTGCCACATACATGATAACTGAACACATGTTAAATTATAATAATCTTACTGGTTTTACAGATCATAAACAAAAGCAAAAACAGAAAGGTAAGTTTTTATGGTAAAATATATACCGGTGCTAATTACTGTGTGAGAAATAAATGTTAATTTTACAATTGATTTAATTTGTAACGTTAATTTTTAGGTCAAATGTATTCTGCTGTGTGCTGTGTGCTGTGATACATTAAACATATCTAAACCACATTTCTTTTTGTTCTAGGAGTATGCAGTTCTTTTAGAAGAAAATGAAAATTTGCAAAGGCAGTTTCAGGTGTGTACATTGGAATGAGTATAATTTGTCCTTGCTCTGGTGGTGTTTTATCTTTCCTTTCAAACATTTGTTAATTTATGGAAAGTTCAGTTCCAAGAAATTAGATTTTTCAGTGATGCAATATTTTGTCAAGTGAAATTCCTTGATGATTTACATGCTATTGGTTATTTTTTATACCACTGAATTTCTGACTTTTAGGCACAAGAGGAAAATTTTAAGTTGCAAAACCAAACCCTTCTGGAGGAGATAAGCAAGGTGATGCTCTATACTTGTCTTTTTGTTCTACAAAGGAATGGCTTGTTCAGGAGCATTTATTTTTCAGTCAGTCAGTAAGTCAGTCAGTCAGCTAGTCGGTCAAATGGCCAGCCTGTTAGCAAGGTGGTCAGCCAATGGGTCGGTCAGTCTCATGCTAGCTAGCTGAACAGCCAGTCAATCATTCTGTCAGTCAGCCATTCAATTAGCCTACCAATCAGACGATTATTAAATCATACAACTAGTCAACCTGTCAGTCAATCAATCTGTCACTCATCTTGATGTTCAGTTGTTCTGTCAGTCATTCAATTAGCCAACCAATCAGACAGTCATTCAGTCAAATGAATAAAGGGGGTAAGTTTCTAAAGTCACTGCGGTACTGCGTCAGTGGGGGTAACAAGGTAATTTTGGTTTTATCAACTAAGTTGAAATTGTAAATTGGCCACTGTAAAATGTTAAAAAGCTGACATTTCAAGCATTAGCCCTTCATTACAGGGAATGACAACAGGCTAATGCTCAAAACATCAGCTTTTAACTCTTTATGGTGGCCAATTTGCAATTTCAACTGAGTCATTTGGTCAGTCAACCAGTCAGTCCATCAGGCAATTCTTCATGCATTTTAACTCTCACACCCTAACATATTATCAAAACTGTTCTTTATACATTTCCTTTGGTATTGACAAGGAGAATTAATCAAACGATCAAAGCTTCTTAGACAGGCGATCATTTCATTTATTCTCGTGATCTTAATAAAATGGTTCACATTATCTTATGTTTACACACAAGTCTTATTTTACGTTATATTACAACTATTGTTTATGTATCTTTTTATTTGATATTTAGTTCTTATTAACCGAGCGGGAGGTCTGTATGGGAGAATCTTGACCGAGGTCGCTAGTACAGACCGAATGCAGTGAGGTCTGTACTGGCGATCAAGGTCAAGATTCTCCCATACAGACNGAGTTCCCTTTTGTTTAGCAAATCTTACGTGACCAGAAATAAACAAGCGCGCGCGGAAAAATAGTCTTTGCATTTGCTCACATCAGCAGCGTACACCCATGGGCAAATGGGGGACGCTAAATTGACCAATCAGAGCGCGCGCTTTACTTTGGTTATGTTATAAAAAAAGTTACTTTACCAGAATTTTTATATTTACCCAAGTCTTAGCCCATCGAAATATGAGTCATTTGAAATATTGTGGTTCTTTGTGTGTCCACTCCATTTTTTTTTTCTCCCTTGCAAAGTTTTTGTTAGCTTGGTGTTAAGCTCATCTGTTCATGCAGACTAATAGTAGTGCCCCTTTTTCAGTGAAGTCAGTTATGGGAGTAAAGAAAATATCAACAAAAAAAAATTGATGTAAGTTCCCAGAGTACCCTGCGGCATGCTACCATCAATTTTGTTTTCTGTTTTGTTTTTTTTATTTTTTTTACCAATCCTATGATGGTCTTTGCTGAAAAGGAGGGACTGCTTGTTGTCCACATTGCATTAACTTGTCAGTATCATCATTGTTAAGATTACAATTATATCAATTTGCTTTTAAAACGTCCATGCACCGCAGATTTCCAACAGAGGCATGAGGAAGAATTAATGCAAGTACAAGAAAAACTCCGGTCCCTCTCTGATGACCATGGTCATGACAGCTGTCAATCATCAGATGCAGGTGTAAACGATGCGGAAGATTTGCCGTCAAATGGAGAAATATATGAAGCTAACAGTAACGAAGCAGTTGACGAAAATAGACAAGCTAAACCGTCACGACAAAAACTTCATGACATTTTGAACAGGGAACTGTCGGCGTTTTGTGAAAAAATGTGTAGTAGCGAAACTGGCGATGTATCTAAAGAAGAAGAAACAAACCAAAGGCATGAGGTTGCCGAGGGCGTGGATGCGAACTTGAGAGCAGAAGATAGTGCTGGAACAGCAATGTTAGACTCTAGAGATGGGAAGCAGTCAAGCAATCAGGATTTTATCGAAGAGATAGACAATTTGAAACGGAAACTAGCTGATAGTTTGCTTCATTTTGTTTCTTCAAATGAAGGTAAGGTTTTAACTTCCAAGACTGTAGACTAAAGAAAAAGGAACTTCCGTTATTGCACCATCCTTGCGAAGGTTTTTCCCCTGAGTATATGCTTCGAAAAAATGTTTTTGTGAGAAATTGCAAGTTAGCTCTGTAAAGTCGTACTTGACGTGTTATATCCTAATGAAGATTAGGTTTATGGTCGTTGCGCCGACGAGCCAGCTCCCGAGTTCCAGTTCAGCAACAACTCGGGACGATTCGCCAGGTACTTCGGCGAAAAGACCGGATACCGGAGATTAGGTGATGTCATTAAGAGCAGCGTTTCGTCTTGGCAAATAAACTTATCATACGGAATTTTCAAACAAACTCATTCAGCGTCACGCTCAAAGTCCCGTTCGAAATTTCAAGGTGTTAGCAAGCTGCCTCTCTATCGCAGAAGGACGCCCACTGCTATAATGGACCAGGCAGCTAAAAACTGGGCGAACGGGACTTAAAGTGCCTATGAAGTAAAATTTTTTTTTTGCCCTGTTTGTTTGCTTATGTCTTGATGAACACAGCTAAGCGATTTTGACGGACCAAAAGAACTTTCTTGTATTATTTTTTGAACCTCAAAGTTTGAATTTTGCAGTCTGAAATGGGTTCATTCTGCGCGCGGTCAAATCTCATCTTACAAACAAACAAAAGCTTAAACAAAGCGCCAGAACCACCAACTACGTCATCAGAGCCAAACTCGTTCCCAGTTTCCGGAGACACCGATAACGTCTAATTTAGGGACTTCGAGCCACCAAAAAATTTTACTTCATAGGCACTTTAAAGCATGGTGCTGAACGAGTTTGTTTGAAAATTCCAGAAGGTATCTAATTAGTCTCCTGGCAATGACGACAAACCACAAAATACATGAATGTTCCACAACCTTGAAAAGATCCTTAAAATGTAAAAAATAGTAAAGATAAAGAAAATATACCTATAGTACAACTATCAGAAGGATCGCGATCATGAATGTGCCACTCAAAGGGTAGAATGGCTGTCACATACTTCGTAACCCGCAATGTATCTAATGTGTCACTGATGCTACAAGTCCGAGAGTTTTTAGTTTACTCAACTGTCAAAAGTTATATGTTTAAAGGTTAGGTTGCAGACTAATGTAATTTTTGTTTCACTGTTTTTTACAAGTTACAGCAGTTGTCAGAAGTCCACCGCGGGAACGTCGACAAGAGGTCAGTAGATGTATCTGCAAATTTATGCTGTTTTAAGTATCAGAGATGCTAAAGTGAGAGCGGCTGGACTCCGGGCTGGAGTTCTGAGTGAGATGAAATATTTGCACACATGCGAGCGGCTGCTGTGTCACGAAGCCAGTGTCAAGCGCTTTCCCCACTGCGATTGATTTGCGTGCGACAAAAACTCGTTTCCTCAAATTTGCGGATGCGGGGATCCTCGAAAAACCTCGGTCCTCGAACCTCGAGCTTCAAGTTTTGCTTCTCAATCCTTGAAAATTTCGAGAATCGCGTGTCTAGCTGAGACTTTCAACTTACTTTTGAGAGAGTGAATTAGTTGTAATGTCAAATATTGATATAAAGCAATACTGATTTATTTTGTTATGTGAGATTGTAAGAATTTTAATTGGCTTGTTTCCTTCTATTACAGCAAGCCTCGATTCTATTCCTAAAAAAAAAGGCTCTACACTGCGAGACTCTTATAAAGACAGTGTTCGCGTTTAACTCCTGTGTAATTATGAAATTCTAGCGACGTGTTTTGTTAATGTCAATCATTCAAGAATACACATCTAAAAATGTTTGCTCTGCTATTGTCTCTTCATTGCTCATTATTCCGTAGGCTCAGTAGGCTCGGTTTTCATGACAGACGAGATTCTCGTCTTTAGAAATAAAAAAGAAACAAGATGCACGTTGGAGGTCACCTTAGTGAATTTTTATACACGTTGTTTACTTTTCTGCGAAATATATCCTGGATGCAGAAGGTAGGTCGCTGTCCTTATCAGGTAAATGCTATTGATTATACTCTTAGTGTTTTTGAAACTTGTTTACAACTGTGATCTGACTTTTGTAACGAAGGTTGAAGTCAGAAGCCTGGCTCTGTAAAAACAAATAAAAGAGATGGCGACTCTTCAACTACAACTTGACACTGAACGAGAAGAGAAGAGAATCCTTCAAGAACAGCTACATGAAGCTGAGGTGGGTTACAGAGGGAATAACAACTTACCATAATTGTGGTTGTCTCCGTAGCCTGATGGTTAGTGCTCTGGACTCCAGGTTGAGAGGTCTGGGTTCGAGTCTTTCCCAGGCCCCAGTTATTCGAAAGGTGGATAACGTCATCCACTGGTTAAATCTCTATCCGTTAGATTGTGCAACACTGAAT